CATTATTTTTACCATTTGAGATCTTCTATTCAATTTTTCTTGTCTCGGTTTACGTGTTTGGTAAATTACCATTTTGCCCTTTTTACGTATTTTGGCCCTAATTTCAGGATTTTCACTAATCCTACCCCTTAATCCACAATTTCACATATAATTATATATTTAAAAATACGAGGTGTTATAAAAAGAAAGTAGATAAGAGAATGCAAAATTACACCTAAACGATGTAATTTTATTAAAAATGATACAAAGTTGTTAAAATGAAAAATATTTTTCTTATATTGTTGTAGATAAGTTATCTTATGTTAGTGAAATAAAATTATAAGAGAGACCCATAAATGATTGGAGAGAAAAGAAAATAAAGGAGGGACTCACTTTTATTATGTGTTTGTAGGAAGATGGGTTATCTAATGTTGAATGAGATAAATGTAATATATATATATATATATATATATATATATATATATATATAAGTATTTCTCCAGTCACAGGAGATAAAGTTATCTCCAGTTAGCGCAAAACAACGTCATTTTGGGCTATAAGATTAAAAAATTAAATGATAAAAACTAATATAACTCTGCAATATATTAGAATTACAAAAGCATCTTGATTTTTTCTCCAAAATGACGTCATTTTGGGCTCACCGGAGATAACTTATCTCCGTTGACTAAAGAAATTATTTATCCATGTGTGTGTGTGTGTGCGCTTGCGCGCAAAAAATCAAGGGATTCGGTCCACATATAATTATTGTGTACAAAATTTTGTGTTACAACACGTAGCATAACATTTCATTATTGTGAGGAAAAAATCAAGGGATTGGGTCCACATATAATTGTTGTGTAGAAAATTTGGGTTACATCACGTAGCATAACATTTCATTTACCTGTGTGTGTGTGCGCGCGCAAAAAATCAAGGGATTGGGTTCACATATAATTATTGTGTACATAAATTTGTGTTACAACACGTAGCATAACATTTCATTGTTGTGTAGAAAAAAATCAAGGGATTGGGTCCACATATAATTGTTGTATAGAAAATTTGGGTTACATCACGTAGCATAACATTTCATTTACCCTTGTGTGTGTGTTCATGTTGTAGGAGAATTATTTGTTACTACTAGTGACTCTTCAATTTTCGTGCAGTATCTTTTTTATTTTTTTAATAGATTTTGGCCCCACATAAGATGTGTCTATAATATGAGAAAAAAATTTCTACTGCATGAGAAAATTAAGATCAAGGGATTGGGTCCACATATAATTGTTGTGTAAACATATTTGTGTTACATCACGTAGCATAACATTTCATTGTTGTGTAGAAAAAAAATCAAGAGATTGGGTCCACATATAATTGTTGTGTAGAAAATTTGGGTTACATCACGTAGCATAACATTTCATTTACCTGTGTGTGTATGTGTTCATGTTGTAGGAGAATTATTTGTTTCTACTAGTGACTCTTCAATTTTCGTACAGTATCTTTTATTATTTTCTTAATAGATTTCGGCCCCACGTAAGATGTGTCTATAATATAAGAAAATTTTCTTCTACTGCATGAGAAAATTAAAATCCATATATAAATATATATGGTAAAATCATTTCTGCAGCCGCTTTACGTACAGCAATGACAAGTATATGGTTATGATTCCCCACATTTAATTCTTTGTATGGTTATGATTCCTCGCATTTAATACTTTCAAGTATATATATGAAAAGTATTTAATGCATGTATAGCAGCTGCAGAAATGTAAACTCATATATATATATGCACTTATTGCGAGACGAGTCCTCATATGAACTTCAGGCTTTGAGGGGGTATTTGGTAGAGGGGATTTTTTTTACCGAGAAAAAAGATTTCCTGGAATATGGTGGGAATTTTTTTCCCGAGTAAGTTACGAAAAGGTGTTTGGTAGGTCAAATTTTTTTGGAAAAGTTGGGTTAATTTTACTTATGCTATATTTGGTTGATTGTAAAATATTGGTGAAAATCTGAATCGAAATGGCAAAATTATCCATTTTTACACAACTGCTGGTATATTGTATAAGGGCATTTTTGTCTCAAAGTGTGAAAATATGTTTTCCAGTTGGTGGGGGAAAAAATAATATGTTGGGTAGGATGGTAATTTTTTTTTCATGTATAGTTAAAAATGGAAATGATGGAGAAAAAACTATGTCGGTATAATTTTACTATTATTCATATCAAATATGATAAAAAAAAGAAAATCTTCATTCCACTTTCTCAGGATTTTCTCAAAATACTCATTCCAGATATACCCCTGACAAAAGAGAAATAGTTCAACTATTGAAGAGAGAGTGAGAACAGAGAGAATCTTCTCTTTTTTTGAAGAGAAAGATGAAAGGAGAAAGAGATGAGAATTAGTTTTTAGGGCTTTACTAATCTCATGCAATAGAATAGAACTCTGTCATGCAATAGAGATAATCATGTGTGGGACCCATCCATTATAGAAAAAGAAAAAAGAATAAAAAAGTAATACGCAAATCGATGTATGTGTAGGAAAGAAAAATTCTCTTTTACAATATAAGAGTATATTTTCCCTAATTTTTAACATATGCACTTATTTCCAGTCTTATTTATATCCACATATTTCAAATCTTCTCTCTTTGTAGTATTTTTTACTACTATTCAAATTTATAATTTTTAACTTTGAGTGTTTTTTATTTTCTTTTATTTGCATTAGCAGATTATATTTTTTATATTTTGAGGTTTTTAATTGAATTCATTAATAATTTAAATATTTATTTTATTTGTTATCATATATATATATTATATAACTGAAAAATATTTCTGCAGTTACTGCAGATAAGTTATATGCATTTAGTCATTTACTCCCAAAACGACATCGTTTTGGTGTTGAAATATTAAAAATTATAATTATAAAGATTGTTATAACCCTGAAATAAATTAAAATTACAAAAATACATTAATTTTTGCCTCAAAACGACGTCATTTTGGGTTCAATGCAGATAACTTATATGCATTAACTGCAAAAAAAAAAAATGAACCCATAGTATAATTAAAGGGGTTTACATTCATCATTTAATATGACACAAAAAAATTTTCTACACATATAATATTTTATGAGACCTGCACTTTTTGAAATAAAAAAAAAATTAAAACACGTAAAACAAATCTCTATAATATTATATAGTCAATTTTTTTACATAACTCTTATAAACGTGACAATGAACGAGAGCCTTGTGCAGCAACTTTGATTTTACCATAGAATATTCTCCTTTCGAAAAGCTTTTTTCTTTTTCTCAGAGATCACGAGATCCACGTTTTTGAAGTGTGCGCCACATCACGTGACACCTGCAGTTCTATATATAAATATACAAAATATAACAAAAGCTGTCGCATGTAATGACTGTCTGTAGTTGAACGATCAGATCCTAACAGCTGATAGATAAATACTAGGGGTGTACCTACAATATTATTTGAAGTTTAAATAGCTATTTTTAGATTAGTTTGATAATTAGCCCATCATCATGTTGATGTTTACGTCGTAGAGGATATTTGTGATTTCTAAAAAAAAAATTAATTTGATAATTGTTTGCTATATAAATGTGTAAATATGGATCATGCAAAATCCTCTGGGTGTGTCATTCATAGTTAAAGTCAGCAAAACGAGCTCGGCTCAGTGGGCCAACCCGCCCTATCGGCTAAACGAGACGGGACGGGTTGAGTTTTTCAACCCATCTCAAAAGCGAGGCAGGGCAGGCTCATTTTTTTGCGGGTTGATGACGGGCATAAACGGGCCGAGGCGGATCAGTGTAAAATAGACTCGGCTTGGCGGGCCAACCCGCCAAATGGGGCGAGGCGAGCTCAATTTTTTCAGCCCACATTCAAAAGCGGGGCGGGGCGGACTGACTCATTTTTTGACGAGTTGATGGCGGGGTAGGGCGGGCCGGGGTGGGCCGCCCACTTTGCCACCTCTATTCATAGTCATAAAGCTGATTGCAAGGTAGTCATGAATAACGGGTGTTAACTGACCGAGCTGAGCTTTACTCTTAAAAAACTAAGCCTGTGTTTAAATATGTCAGCCTGACCAAGCCTGTTACCTGTTATAACTTATAAAACGAGAGGCTCTAAGGTCGAGCTTTTGAATTAGAACCTGAGACATTTTATTAAACGAGCTTTTATACAAGTTCAAGTCTGGTGCCAACAACCAAATTTAGACATGTAAGTTCAGGCCTTCACGAGCCGAGCCAAAAGTCCCTGAAAGACCCTTGGCTTGTTTAGCACCCCTAGTCATGAGGATCCCTTTATTATAGAATCTAGAAGGTTCAAATACATGTATTTCCTTTGTTTTACGATATTAATATAAAGAAAAAAACATATTATATTTACAATATATTTCTTATCACCTTTTATAATTATTTTTATAGTTGTTGAATCAAAATCAAATTAACAATTCTCACTTAATATTATTTTATAATGGTTGATTTATCTAACAACCATAAAGAGATTATAAGAGAAAATAAATTATAAATATACGGTAGGATATTGTAACAACCAATTAGTATTACTATCAATGTTACTACCAATCAATTTTACCGTTAGATCGATTATGTTGTCCCAACAATTATATATATTCCATCTTTGTATGGTTATAATTTTTCATATTTAATGTGAAAGCATTAAATATGAAAAATCACAATCATACAAAGATGAAAATAAATATAAAGTACTAAATATGGAAAATCATAACCATACAAAGATGAAAATAAATATAATCGACCTAATGGTAAAATTGATTGATAGTAACATTAATAGTAACACTAATTGGTTGTTACAATATCATTCCCTTGTAAATATAATCTTCCTCGCTAAATAATATTATAGTCATCAAAGTTGTATAAAAAAAAATTTAATTTATATAAATAATTTATTCATATTTTATGTCACAATAAAAAAATGCATTGTAGACTACGCAAGAGAAACGCGCAATTATGTGGACTTTGACCGCGTCATTGTGTTGTCCAACATTAATGTTATCTGAACCCACAGAGTTACACTTACTTACTTCTGTTTTCTCAAATCAACGTTTCAAGCTCAAACCGATCTTTGTGGTTTCCTGAAATAGCCAAAGAAGAAGGCAAAGGAAAGTTTTGAACCTTGGTAATACCTTCTTCCGACTTGTATTTCTATGCTCTTTTTTTTTTTTCAGTGATTTAGTGTAATTATTTTCATGTGTGATATCATCACGTTTAAAGAATAGTTAACAATGCCACATATCCATTTTTCCTTATTTGAGAAGGAAAATCTAGTGTTTGTGATGTTTTGGTATTATTGTCACACTAGGGAGAAAAAGTGAGTTATTTTATTTTATATTATTTTTAAGTTTTTGTTGTGATTGCAGAGAACACACCATTGTCTAATTGTTTTTGTATTTATCAGTTGTTGGATCACGACTTAGATTTGTACTTCCATCGAGCATTTTATCTTGTCATTTTGAGTTGGATTCGAAAATTTGTCTTCTTTCGTTGTATGATTGGTTTGATAGAAACAGAGGAAGACCTGGTCATGAAAAGAATCTGAGTGGTATAGAATATTTTTTGGGGTTTAATCATATTGAACTGTTGGGAGAAACGGGTGGGGGAATGTTAGTACTGCAGAACTTTTGAGGAAAAGTAGGAAAGTGTGAGTTTCATGTTTAAAGATGATCAAGAGATTGACATGATGCAACTAGTTTCTTCTGTCTTTGGTTCAGGCAAGACTAGTTCTTTAACTGTTGGAATTTGTACATCAAAGGTATCTAACACAACCAAGACCATTTCCTGATAAAAGTTATATAATCAGGTATCCGAAAGAGATTCAGATGCCTTTATACTATTTGAAAAAACCACTCCCATTAAACCCCGACTAACGAGGATGGAGTGAGGGAAATTCTTGTACGCAGCATTTTTCTTGCATATTTGCAAATAGACTGTTTTTCGTCTTCGAACCAGTTATCTTTCAGTTATAAGTTGACAAAAAGTAGACGGGTGTAGCTGTATATTAACATCCTGAGAAATAGGGGTGTGCACAGTTTGATTTTCTATACCGAACTAGAAAAGTGGTTCAGTTTAGGCGAACCAAACTGGTTTTGAAAAGTGGTTCGGTTCTTGGATCAGTTTGAAAAAAAAGGGTTCGGTTTCGAATTGGTTTAATAAAAATGATTCAATTCTTAAATTAGTTCGGAAAAATGTGGTGCGTCTTGGTTTGGTCACGGGGTTCAGTTTAGTTCATTTGGTTTTTTAACACTTATAAAAATGGGTATGGTTCGATTCAGTTTAGTTTTTAGCCCAAACTGAATCAAATCGTTAAAGTGATTTGGTTCTTGAATCAAATTGGTTTTGAAAAAAAGTTCGGTTCTTGAACTGATTCAAATAGGGTGTGTATGACAACCTTTCCGGAATCAATTTTTTTTTAATTTCTGTTCCTGGGAACAGAAATGAATAGAAAACTCCTTTGGTAAAACTGGTTTATTTTTTTGTTGCCAGGATGAACCAGTTTAATTTTTGTGCTGAGGAACAAAAAAAAAATCCAAAAAATTATGTTTTTTTGTTCCCGAGCACAAAATGAGAAACATTTGTCTCTCTCAATCACTCTCCGCCTCTACCATCATCACCACCACTACCATCATCCCGACACGACCACGGTCACCATCGTCGCCGCCGTCGTCGTACCACCAATGTCGTTGTCACCACCACCACCACCACCACCTCCACCCATCACTACCATCACTATCACCACTACCACCGCCACTACCATCACCATGCCATCGCCATCGCACCACCGTCGCTATCACCATGTCATCGCCACCTCCACAACTACCACTACCACCACCGCCACATCACCATCGCCACCAACCACCACTACCATTAGCGCAGCCACTTCCATTACCACCACCACCACCATGCCATCACCATGCCGCCGCCGCCACCACCACCACCACCATCGTCGCAGCCACGGCTATTAACGTCGCCGCCGCCACTGTGCCACCATCACCACCACCACTACCATGTCATCGCCACCGCCACCGCCACCGCCACCGCCATCACCACCATCGCTGCAACCATTGCCATCACCACCACCACAACCACCACCATGCCATAACCATCACCACCAGCACCATACCACCACTACCACCAGCATTATACCACCACCATCATTGCCGCCACTACCACGCCACCATCATTGTCACCACTACTACCACCGCCACCATCATCGCAGCCACTGCCATCAGCCCATCACCACCACCATGTCACTACTACCACTGCTGCCGCCACTATCGCCACTATTACCACCATCATCGTCGCAGCCACTGCGTCTCCACCACCGCCATGTCATCACCACCACTACCATCACCACGCCACCGCCACCACTACCACCATTACCACTACCACCATTACCACCACCACCGCTGTCGCCACCACCACCGCTGTAGCCACCCCCACCACACCATATGGAAAAGAAAGTGATGATCCGAATTTTTTTTTTATTTAATAGGAATTATTTTTTATTATATTATTTGTTGTGTTATCAAACACAATTCTCATTCTCAGAATAAAAATAGAACATGTTATCAAACATATTTTTTTTTCTCAAAAACTGTTCCAAGGTACAGAAATAGAAAAGAATTATTTCTTTTCAGAAACAGTATCAGGGAACAGAATGGTTGTCATGCACACCCATAAAATGGTTCAGCTCTGAAACCAGTTGAAAAGAATGTAGTTCTTTTGGTGCAGTTTGGATTAGTTCACAGTTCAATTCATTTGGTTTTTTTTCACACCCCTGTTGAGAAAGGGATGCACCGTGTAAAAGGTAACCATTTGTCATGGTGGCCGTGGTACCTTGGTGACCAAAAGAAATTTTGGTATAATGAACTATGAAATATTTTCCTTTGTTTCTTCCTTTATCCTGGTTGAGTCATATGTTCAGATTAAATCAACTGATTCACCTTCAGTCTTGTTCTCAAAGAGGGTTGAAGTTCCTACCTGTAGATCCTATGTCCATTGGCATTGTATCCTTATTTTAACAGCCACAACATTACCTGTTCAAATTAACTAAAGGTGCACATGCCAGGACCAATTTTAAAGTGGAAGAAAAATAAATAAATTTAGATTTAGAATCAGGTTTGGAAAATGCTAGATACAATTAAGTAATTTTTACTCTTCCTGATTATTTTGGATAAGTGGACAATGATTAATCAATGTTTATAGAACTGACAAAGTAACAAGTAACAAATTCTCAGTTGACACTTTATATGTGAAAAGCTCACTCCAAACTTCCCGGAAGTGGCATCCTTGTGAACTAATATCATGGAAACTGATTATTCTGCTCAAATTTATGTTCTCTTAAAAGTTTTAACAGTTTATATACCTTTGTTAAAACGGCGTATGTATTGCATTGGAGTTCTGCATGTTACCATTCTAAATATTATTATCCTCATATGAGTTCCCTTAATTACCTTAGTCATCCATCTGCAGGCTCAATACCTAGAGTTCCACCAGGCTCAACAGCAGAAACAACTAAAATGCATCCTGCGCAGATTGTTTTATTTGGATCGACTTTCTGTGTCATGATAACAGTGCACTTTTCTATGAAGCTACTCTCAGATCATGTTTTAAACTGGAAGAAACCAAAGGAGCAAAAAGCCATAGTAATTATAATCCTTATGGCCCCACTATATGCTGTGGACTCCTATGTTGGTTTGATAAATTTTTTTGGAAGTGAAGCATTCTTTACATTCTTGGACTCAATTAAAGAGTGTTATGAGGCTCTGGTAAGATTTTATACATGCAATGTTTGTGCTGGGAAACCCTACCAGTACTTTCATGCTAAATATATTTTAAAATTTTTAATATTTTGATCTATTACAACTCACAACTTACTCCATGTGTTACCTACAGGTGATAGCTAAGTTCTTGGGTTTGATGTACAGTTATTTGAATATTTCCTTGAGTAAAAACATAGTGCCGGATGAGATCAAGGGTAGAGAGATTCACCATTCATTTCCAATGACTCTTTTTCAGGTGGTTGATCGTCATCAAATTTTGTAATGTTCTGATTCAAACTGTCTTCTGTCATGTCTTTCGCATGATTATGTTTGCAGAAATGATGCATCACATCAATGAATATGTTTCTGGAGTTTTAGATTTATGGTCTCTTGGACCATGTACCGCAAAAAAGGGTGCTTTATTCTTAGTATTAACAATTAGTGATGTTTATCATTTCCCTGTGACAAATAATGATTCTGCATTGATGTAGAGATGTAACGCATTCTTAAAGTCGCAACTAATACTGGGATCATGCTTACACCATATTGGATGTTTCCCTTTCAACGGCAACAACTTGGTTTTGTACACATACCAACATATATAAGTTAACTGTAAAGCAACAAAAGCACTTCATGAAAGAACAATGAATATATTTATTTTGGTAAAAACATTATGTCTAGTATATTAATAATTAGAGTAAATACCTTTTTTAGTCCTCAGCAAATTTCACGATATCCGTTTTAGTCTCTAACAAATAAAAAGGCCCATCGTGGTCCCTAAAATATTCAAAATGGATCCATTTTAGTCCTTTGAGAGACTAATATGGGTCTTTTTTGAATTTGTCAGGGACCACGATTTCAACTAAATGAGTCCATTTTGAATTTCTTAAGGACCACGATGGGCCTTTTTATTTGTTAGGGACTAAAACGGGCATCATGAAATTTGCTGAGAACCAAAAATGGTATTTACTCTAATAACTATTATAGCATGTACAGTTTTCTTTTCTTTTTTAATTAAAAAAAATCTAAATAATGAGGTTTTACCAAGTGTTCTTGAGATGTTTAAACCTATAGGTTAGTGCACATGTTTTCCCAACTCTTTCCCTCTCAAAGTACCCCAGTCAAATTTTTTGCTGTAGCCAAGGGAAGGAGGGACTTGGTTATTTGGTTCTGCGAGGATGTTATGCAGAAAATTGCATGTCCTTCATGAAGATGTGTAGAATCACCAGCAATGCACAGTATAATACACTTGATTCATCAATTAAACTAATCACACTAATTAATGTATTCTTTTTACTTGCGTGAATATTTCTACCTATAAATGTGTTTAACTCATCATAGCCACCATATGCAGCCTCATACTACTCGGCTGGACCATCATACGCTTAAGCTTCTCAAAAACTGGACTTGGCAGTTTGTAGTGCTACGCCCAGTGTGCTCCGTCTTGATGATAACTCTACAGTATCTTGAAGTTTATCCCAGTTGGGTCAACTGGACAATCACAATCATTCTAAACATTTCAGTGTCACTGGCATTGTATTCTCTTGTTGTTTTCTACCATGTCTTTGCTAAAGAGCTGGAACCACATAAGCCTCTTGCCAAGTTTTTATGCATAAAAGGGATTGTCTTTTTCTGCTTTTGGCAGGTATTTTCCTATGCTTTACCTTGATCCTTTGTACCATGATTGATCAACAGGTATTTTGTTTTGAATTTCAATTTCTCAATCACAGCATGCAACTATTAGTTAACATATTGGTTCTAGATTATGTTAATTGAAGACTAGCTATTTAGGCTTAGTAAAACATAAACTTATCCAAGATTATGAACACTACAATTCTCAGGGCAGGACATACTATCCTGGAATAAGCAGTTTTTTATTACCTTTACAAGATTTTTTTGGTTGAATAGATGTTATATTAGTTTAACAACTGTGTTAAATTCAATTATGCAGGGAATTGTGCTTGATCTCCTGGCAGCATTAGGAATAATCCGGTCCCGTTATTCCTGGCTAGCTGTGGAACGTATTGAGGAAGGGTACCAGAACATTTTGGTCTGTGTTGAAATGGTTTTCTTCTCTCTATATCAGCTATCTGCATACAGTGCTGCACCATACAGGGTTAATAACAACAGTAGCGTTTCTTCAGATAAAAAGTCAAAGTGATTCCAGGACATGGACTACTACTGTGTGTTAAGGTTATCAATGTATGCACTTTCAATATCACTATTGCTTCTCCCCATTTCTACACGAGACAATTGTTAAACAGTTGCATGAAAACATTGCGAAATATGCCAGAGTCTATTAAATAAAGGTCGAGATGCATTGATGCTAATTCTTAATATCTAGAAAGTTTTATCCAACATTTCTACTTTGATGCTCAGCTTTCAGTGTGTTTGTCTTAACTCTATTACAGATTCAATTCCTTTAGTTGCAAGTTATTTATATTGTAGCCTCTATATTTTTCATTTTCATAATAAGCTCGTTGATATTACAATTACAAAGGAAGTAAACTTCAAAAGTTCAAATTACTGAGTCATGTTCATGTGGCACTCACAAATACCATTATATAATCATAATATGAATTTCCACAAAAAAGGTTATATATTCATAATATAACTAGATAGATATATTATATTAAAATCGTTTTTATTCTGTTTTGTTTGAAAAGAAAGGGGAAAAAAGAGACAGATTCTTCTTGTTAGGGGCAATTTGAGAGCAAACTGACTTGCATACTGTTTTCATGCTGGATTCATTTGACTAGCCTCGTTAAAATATAATCAGCATGATAAGAAAAATACCCAATCATCTTATCATCGCATAAGTAGATCAAGCCATGTATTTGGTATGTTAAAGGCCTTATGTTAGACGTAACTAATTCATGCTCAGACCTGAGACCAGTTTAAATGGCTAGTCAGATTTTGGTTTTATTCAGTATTCACCAACATTTTCTGTTCTACGCTGAAATAAACAAAATAAACATCTTAGTTGGGGACTGCAACATTTGCATTGAAAAATAGATTATCATTAATAATGTTGGATTGAACAAGTTCTAGGACCTGGTAGTATCTACTCACTACACCTCAAGTGAGAGGAGGGAAAACAAAAAACAAAGCACATATTATGTTGCACTATCTTCATAGATATGTTCAATCTCTTGTGTTATTAAGTAAATTACATTCTATAGACGAGACCGAATGAATACTCTCCTTCCATTTTTCTGCACAAGATTTATTTCCTTAGAACCATCATCTGATTTGTTTGGAGGCAGTGACTCTTCAACACTTCTGGTTGATGTTTTGTAGTGCTGCTTTATATTATTCATGTCTTCCTTCACTTCCTCCATGTTTGTTTCAAAATGAAGGTCATTTGCAACCTTTAAATCAGGTTTCTTCTTGGTCTTTAAACGGTTTGGCAAGGGTATATTTATCAACCCTTCCGAAACCATCTTATCTGCCTGTTTTCTACCTGTAATAAATTATAGCAATGATATTTGCACATGAAAAAATCTACATTATTCTTTCATCACTTTTTTTTGTAAGATTATAAAACAAGAAACATACACATTTAAGCACACAAAATCTCTAAAGAAAAATTTTATAGTAACACATAAAGTTAGGATACACGGACAGATCCTGACTTTAAAAAAAAAAAAAATTGTGTTTGCTGCACTAGAAATACTGGTGCAACGATAGCAAAAATTGGGGACCCGTCAATTTAAAGACCATATTTTGAATATATGATAATAAAACTGAAATTTACCCCATCCCCAAAATATATATATATATATGGGTTTTATAAGAGTTATGTTGTAGGAAAAGTGATTGTGTTATGTTATAGAGATTCGTTTTGCATGCCGAAATTTTTTTTTTTTTTTGCTGCGGGCTCCACAAAATGTTGTTTCTGTAGAAAACTTTTTGTGGTCATATTAAATAATAGATGATAAACTATATATATATATATATATATATATATATATTGATGTTCATAGTCTACGTAGCAGTAATATCTCAAGTACAATAAAATGAAAGGAGTAAAGTTATCTCCTCCGAATACTTTTCCAACTTTATAAAGAAAGTATTAAATGAAGAGCGAGGATCTTTACAACTAATTTGATTACTTTTGAATTAAAATTAAATTCAATGGCTCGTGAAAAAGTAAACATATTTTTTGTGCAACATCAAAAGTATTTAATATTTTATTTATTTAATAATTAAAAAATATTAAGATGAAAGATAAAGAGAATTTATAACAATTTTAAATAAATATAGAGAGAGAAATTAGATGCACACCATTATTTAAACAGCAAATATTTTTTTTTTTTTTTATAATCCAGAGATATTCCCGTTTAACTTACTTCAGTTATCTTGGTCTCGGAGTACGACTCGAAATCTAGCTCTTCGTTGGAACACAAGGTATATTGAGTTTTACTACCAAAAGAAGGATGAGATTAATCCCCTCGAGAAGAACGACACATTCTCTTACCCTCAAATTTTTTTTTAAGAATTTCCTTAAGATAGAATTTGAATCCGACCCAAACAAATTTTGAAAGGTCAGTTGCCAAGCGAGAGATATGGGGTTTAAGCAAATATTTGTTGAAAGTTTGAAACAACTTGCTAGTAAATAAAAAAAAAACTAAACCAATATAATTCAGTAGTTTCGAATTGGATTAAGTCTATTTTTGTTTACCAACTGAAAAATAAAAATTATAAAACAAATAAAATGCCTAAAAGGAACCGACTTGTTTAAAAAATAAAATAAATACAGGAACAAACTTTAGCAACGATACGTTCCAAAAATAAAAACTCGAATCGCTCGAGTTTCTGAAAATAAAAAAATAAAAAAACGATAACGCATTTCTTTCTCAATAGTTATATATTCTTACCAGAAAATGAAACTATATTTAGAAATGATTCAGAAATGAAATGAAACGAAACGAAAGCTTTCGATTAGCTTAAGAGAGAAAAAAAGACCAACCAGGGATGATTTTGCGGGAACCGTCGATGGCGGAGCCCACGGCCAACTTGACGAAATCGACCAGGATTTGGCTTATATTATGGCGGCGGGCCATATCCGGCACGGCGGCGGCCATTTCCGGCAACGGATTCCGATAAGCTTCTTTAAATCGAACCAACTTGTGGTTATGTATTTTGATGGGGGAGCTTTCAATTTTGTTTGATTATTTGGATATTTATATAGACATTAGAGCATGAATGAAGGATATTTGTATGCTAAAAGTCATATCAAATTTTTGCGTTTTTATTTTTATTGTGTTCTTAACTTATTTTTAAACTTTTTTATATTTTTAAGTAATATTTTATATGTTAAAAATTAAAATATTTTTTTTTCATTTTCTAATAATCTAATTAATTATTTGGAAAAAAAATATTACGTACTCTTAAAAAATAATATATTCAAACATTTTTACTTTTTATTAATATATTTTGTTGAATAATAAAAATACGTTAAAGCAGATTTGTTTACTTATAAAATAATTAATAACTAAATGTTTATTCCAACTCCCCTCTCCATTTTTTTTGGCAAATATTGTATTGGAAATCATCAATATCGGGTACATCAATTCCATACACATCCTCACCAAGAAAAGGAAATAAAATAAACTTCCTTATTAAAAAATAAATTAATTAAAGCACAGGGAATTTGATTAAAATTAAGCACAATAATAAAACTCAGAAAATAGATAACACTATGATGCTGGACGCCTACCAACCAGCAAATTAGTGATTTGATCTTTATAATTATTTTTAACTGAGTAGTAAATTTAATTGTTTATACGAGTTAATTTTTAAATTTATAAAATCTATATTAATTTAATTGTTTTTATGTATTACTTTAGTCCTTAAAAAATTGACTTGATAACATATGGAGATTAGAGTATGTGTTTGATTCTTTTCGTAACGTCTTTGAAAGGAGTTTAAAGCCTTAATCTCGGAACCTGTCTCGGATCGAACTAGTCACGAAACGATGAATTGATTAAAATATTTCAAAAAAAGAAAAAATAACTTATACGCATAATTAAATTTGAAGATTAAATAGTAAATACCAAGAACCTTATTCAAGTAATTAGTTATTTGTTTGACTTGCCCCCAATAAATGTTTGATAGTGATTAAATCAAACTTGATCAATGAATCAGTTTTAAAAAAAACAAAAAAAAAAAAACTAAACTTCATTAGAAGAATAGTGACTAATTAACTAAAGTTTTATAAGAGTTATGTTGTAGAAAAAATGATTGTTTAATGTTATAGAAATTCGTTTTGCGTGTCATAATTTTATTTTATTTTTGCTTTAAAAAATATAAACTCCACAAAATGTTGTGTGTGTCAAAAAAAAATTCTAATCATATTAAAAGACAAACTAAATCCCCGATTAACTATTACCCACAATGAATAAAAGTTCAGGGCTTCATTATCATGCTTACGTAACAGAGACTTGCAGCCACAAGATATAGATAAGTGTGCACATTTGTTTTCTTCAAAGTCCTTGCGATTAATTATACATAAATTTTAATCGAATTTAAAATTTTTAAATTAAATTATAACATGTTACAATTCCTTCGATTTTGAGTGTAATAGACTACTAGTATCCTTAAGAAATATCATTAACTATATCCTAATGTTTTTTTACAAATATCACTCAACGAAGTTATGCGGTGTGGGCACAGAATACATATGATGAGCTACAACAACCGTGAAATACATTTATAATTCATCAAGCCTATGTCATAGTTCAATAAAAAACCATGATGAGCCACAGCCACTAGAACCAACAACATGCAGCTGTGAATGTGATCAGGAAACTTGTGAACTTGGCTGAATTGCATGCATAAGCTGATCAATATCTTCAATCAAAATTGCTTTTGCATGTGGAACTGGTGCAACCAGCATCTCCTGAATTTGCTTCTGAATATGTTCTTTCAATCCTACGTGTACCTTTGCATACAGATTTCCATGCTTGTGTGCGCATGTCTGCCAAAGTTACATTCCACCTCATAACAGAAGGAGAGCATGTTATCCGGCTGGTAAATGATGCAAGCCACCTATAATAGAAGACTTATAGCCAAGACCTTATATTTTACCCTTCTTTAGATCACCAAGAGCTTTTCAGTACAAACAGATTTCTCTTTAACTATATCTACATTATCGGTATTCTCTATAGCTGCTTGCTTGGCTACAATTCTCTACGTTAAGAGGTATTCTACCTTTGGAAAGAAACCTCGAAGGTTTTTCCTTACAACTGAGTCACTGTTCTGTTTTTTCAAACTAAAAAATCTGAAATCCCCCATACTTCTACCCTCCCCTCCTATTTAAGCTAATTCCCTACCTCTACAATTTTAGCCGCCCAACTATTCCAAGTAACTACTCTCTGACCCAATCAAAAAGTTCCTCCATGGCATGAAACATGAATGATACGAGCCAGGGAAAGGAAAAGAGGCAGCAAGGTTGCAACTTGCAATGTGATGTATTACTATTACATCAAAAGTAGTTAAAAAAGAGTAGACAATGTTGCTTATGCTAAGCCAATTTATCAATCAAGCTTAACTGACTCAGTTACCATATTGTGCGGCTAAATGCGATATATACAAACTGTAAACAAGCCTTTTCTTAATCTTTTAGTCTTCAAGATCCATAAATAATGCTCAACACCCCCACAACGTAGTTACCAAATTTCAAACCTGTGTTGGGATTGATAAAAAAAAAAAAGACAACAGGATCAGCTGGTGTTAAAAGGTACCCTAAGATTTAAACTAATAAAAAAAAAAATAGTCCTCATTAAACCCGACTAGCGAGTGTGGGATGAGGGCAATCCTTGTACGTAGCCTTACCTTTGCAAATAATTGCAAAAAAACTATTTCCCGAATTCGAAACCGTGACCTTTTGGTCACAAAGAAACAGTTTTACCACTATTCCGATTTGCCCTCAAACTAAGATTTAAACTAATATATTAAATAAATAAATAAAAAGCAATTATGACTATCAGAAGCAGTATCTGAAGCCAAAATAACATGCACGTAGACCTCATACACGTGAGCACACAGCATACAGTTATAAACCTAATATTGATTCTCCCCAAAACTTACCATCGTGAGTAATAATTCTTTCACAAAGACAGACCAGCAAAAAGCAAATCCAACTCCTCCTCCTGTGATACAGTTCTCTGACATAACAGGGTAAAAGCAAAATACAACTGATAACTAGGTAGAAGCAAATACATTATTTAGAAACTCAAAGACAAAACAACCTATAGCTGGTAAACATAGAATGGCCAACCTGAATAGACATAAGTTGCATAATTGTATGAAGAACCTTCAGACGATGTATAACATAGGTACTGTTTGCAGGCAGTTGGTTCATTCTCTTTATTTCTTCATGAACTGCAGCCTGCTTTTTCTCAGACCATATTTGTTTCTGTGGTTCAGGCTGATCAACAGTTCCAATCTCCATCATTTGATCATCGGTATTGCTACCCTTTAAATGATCAAGGGAATCCATTTTTCCACTGAACAAACCAAACATCAACAGAACAAATACTCAGACACCCTTCGCCAAAAGAAAAATACATAAATAATACTCAGACACCACAGCCACACCAAACAAACATGTAGAAAAAAAAACTCTTAAAGGGCCATATATAATCTTCTCAATTACAACATATAAACATGATAAACCCTAGATATTGGCAATAAATCTAGTACTCCAACCTTAGTCACCAGGGTTATAACCACCAACAGAAGTTGTTTTCCTAAAATGTTTCACAGCTTCAAAACAACCATGCAATGTTAATTGATCTCAAGAACTAAAAGCTTGATATAAGCCTCTAGTACTCTGCAAAAGTAACTACAATCAAAAGAGAGAAACTGACAAGTTCGAGTTAACATGAATTGTAGCAGCAGCCAAATACAACCAAGGAACATTTCTAGATCATTAGCCATCGGCCCATCACAAAGGATGAATATATTTTAATTGATTTACAACAAAAAAAAGGACTCATGCAACAACAGAATATCAATATCACAGAGAGAACAGGTTTCAAGATCAATGGGGAAATAGAGGAAAGCAAATTTCCCAATTAAGTTCTATAGTTAAATAAAAGGTAATAACCCGATACAAACTTCCCCAGACAGTATATGCTATACACAACTAAATAAAATCATATTCCAGATAAATTCTTGTTTTAACTATATCCACAATAAAAGTATAACCTAATTAAGATTTTTAAACTAGAGTGAAGGCATTCAACTAATGTTTATTAAAATGACACTATATGATTCAATGATAGTGCAAAATACACTTTATGCAATCAAAATTAAATCCTTAATTCATTTCCCTTCCCAAGCATGACAATATTTCGAAAAATGGTCCCCGTTTATACACGCAACGCTTTTCAACGAATTACCAGCATAGAGATTATGCTTTTCAGTTTTTCTTTTCTTTGCTTAAACCCTAAACATATTATAAACTGGGGAAATAACCAACACGAAATTATATAGAAAAGTAAAGAGAAATCGGAACCCTAACAAGAAAGAAACGAAAAACTTACAAGGAGGAAGTGTGAGGAATCTTCCAAATCGCACAATTTGGGGCAAAATGAATGTCTTTTGTTCAGCTTAATAACGACGTCGTTGGCACAGTGACGCCGCAAAGAAAAAAAAATATTGAGGATATTTTGGGTTCCATTTTTTCTAGCAGGTGAATAAATAATAAATGGGAAATATGTCTCTCCTCCACGGAAGAGACAATATTTTTCTTACAAATACATTGAAATGTGTGTCTTTTATTCTTTTTTTCTTATTGTGGTGGGACCCACGATGCTTTTGAGTCTGCAACATGAAAGAAGATGCCTCCTACTACATAAGAAAATACAAACACATAATAAATATCTACTGCAGAGAGAATAAACGTCGAACGAGACCCACCGATAAACTATGATACACGGACACGGGACACGACACGTCGACACGTTAATTTTAAAAAATGTCATATTTCGACACGTTGGAACACGTTTTGATATTAAATAAAAATTTTAATATATATAATATAATTTATATTTAATACATATAAGAGTCCATAATAAGTCATATAACCAATCAAATATTTAAATTTCATAACATAAATATAAATATAAATAATTTTTCGTACTTTGTTAATTTTTCATGTCAAATTTAATAACAGAAAAAAATAAATTCATAAGTTATTTCTTTTATATTTAGTTAACAAAAAAAAATTAAGATTTAAAAAAAAAACGTGTCCGAGCGTTGACCGCATGTCGGAAAAAGTTGACTGCGTGTCAGAAAGATGTGTCGGAGAGTTGACTGCGTGTCTCCAAATATCGGACGCATGTCGGAGCGTGTCCGTCACGCAAATTTTTCAAAAACTTGCGTATTCGTTCTTGTTAGCTGATAAATATGTGTCTGCGGAAGATAATTTATTTATGTCGCATTTTGCTATAAAATAAGGGATTTGTATTTGTCATTTAACATGACACAACAAACTTTTCTACACACACAATATTTTATGGGGTCCACATTTTTTTAATAAAAAAGAAAAAAAAAATTACGGCACGCAAAACGAATCTCTATAACATTACACAATCATTTTTCCTACAACATAACTCTTATAAAACCCATAAAATAATACCATGAATCCATTCTACATAAACTAATTAAGCGATGTCATTAGTTTGTAAATTTTTTATACGCTCTAATTTTCGAAAAATCAAATTAAAATGAAATTTTAAATATAAGTAATTTATTTTATAACAGTGATGAAATAAAGAAATTAATCTTTTTCATGTTATAGGAGATGATTTTATATTTTATATTTTATATTTTACATATACATAAAAGTGTATATAGCGATTTTACTAAAAAAAAAAAAAAAGTGTATAAGGCTCGTATAAGATCATGTGAAGAGAAGAAAAAGAAAATATTTGTTACATACATTTATATATATATATGTAAAAGATAAAATTATCCCTATAACATAAGAAACATTAATCCTTAAAATAAATATTCTTGTGAACAATAGTAAGTTGTTTATTCTATATTTTAAATTTGAAAATAATTCAAAATTTAAAATAATTCAAATATTTATTATATAACTGAATAGGTATTAAATTTTTGTACTAAGGAATTTCTTTTCATTAATAAAAAATTTCAAGTTCAAGTAGAGGTAGTAATTTTTAACACGATGCAAAAAATTTGTATACAAGTTAACCTATTTTTAAATCAGTGTCGTGTTGTGTATCAACCCGCAATTATAATACTGACCCGTGTTAATTTTATTCTAAGTTATTCCACGTGTCCTGTCAATATGACATTGGTGAAAGCAATATCCACTACAAAGAATATTTATGTTATGGGCTATCTGAGTCATGTCAATCCCACAATGAACAAGACCCTTTGAAGTTAGTATGTTATTGATGTCTTGCTAATCTGTAAAATAAATAAATCAAATATTTATTCTCTCAAAAATATTCATATTTGTGTCTGACCTCAACCAAACAAAAACGCAATCAGCTAAAACAAATTGTCACCCCTAAATTTTTACCAGAAATAGAGGAATCGGAACCCTAACAACTAACAAGAAAGAAACGAAAAATGAATGTCTCTTGTTTTTTTTTTTGGTTACAAAAAATGAATGTCTTTTGTTCAGCTTAATAACGACATCGTTGGAAGACACTGACGCCGCAAAGAAAAAATATATATATATGGAAGGTATCTTGAGTTCAGTTTTTTTTTTCAGCAGCGGCATAAAATAAATATCTACAGCAGCGACAAGAAATGGGACCCATTATTTAAAAAAAATATCCCAATCCGATGTCATATCTTGATAAATATATGTTTGCGGCAGATAAATTATTTTTGCCGAAGTTGTAGAAATAACTTTGCCATAAAATAATACCAAGAATTCATTCTACATAAACTAATTAAGCTATGTCATTAATTTCATTTCGAAAAATCAAATTAAAATGAAATTTTAAGTATAAATAATTTATTTCATAACAGTGATAAAATAAAGAAATTAATGCTTTTTATGTTATATGAGATAATTTTATCTTCTACACACTCATAAAAGTATGGGAGACCCATGTGAAAAGAAGAAAAAGAAAAAAAATGGGACCATTTACTTTTATCTATATGTAAAAGATAAATTATCTCCTCTAATATAAGAAACATTAATCCCTAAAATAAATATTATTTTTGAACAATAGTAAGTTATTTATTCTATATTTTAAATTTGAAAATAATTCAAATATTTATTATATATAGTGAATAGGTATTAAATGTTTGTAGTAAGGATTTTCTTTTCACTAATAAGAGATTTCTAGTTAAATCTACAAAGAAAAGAGAGAGAGAGAGAGAGATTTCAAGTTCAAGTAGAGGTGGGAATTTTTAACACGATGCAAGAAATTTTATACAAATTAACCAATTTTTAAATCAATGTCGTGTTGCATGTCAACCGCAAACACAATACTAACTCGTGTTAATTTTATTCTAGGTTATTTCTTGAGTTTGGTGAAAGCAATATTATACTAAGATTATTTGTATTATGGATTATTTGTATCGTGTTATGTCATGTCATGTTGTGTCGTGTTAATTTCATAATGAACAAAGCCTTTTAAAGTTAGTATGTTAGTGAGGTCTTGTAGACTTGCAAAATAAATAAATCTAATATTTATTGTGTCAAGAATATTCATGTTTGTGTCCAACCTCAACCCAACACAAACACGACCTGCTAACTCAAATTGTCACCTCTAAATTTTAGTTCTAGAAATAGAGAAAATGATTTTGGAAGAATCATCTCTATATGGATTTGAGAGTGTTCGAACCGAACCAATAAAATAATTAATTGATTGTAGAAAAAAAATCCATAAATATTTACTTTTTAAATTTCAATTGAAACTTTTGAATTTTTATTAATCATCATCTGTATTATATTATGGGATCTATTTGTCTCTGTTGCATGAGATAATTATCTCATGCAACATGAGATAATTATTTCCTTTATATTATTAACATTTTGTTGTATCCATTACAAGGGTTAAAAAAAAAAATACATTATCATTTACTAATATATTATCATATGATTTAATGAGTTTAACAATAAATGAATAGTTAGAATATTATATAACCTGACATTATGTCATTAAGGTTGATTTTTTTTTTCACATTCAGAGTGCATTAAAATTAAACTTTTATTATCAACAACTAATTCAAGTAGTGAGTAATTTATTCTCCTTAATAAATGACTCGAGCTTGGATAATTGAAAAAAATAATCTTGAGAGAGCCACTCTCAATATAAATCTGATAATGCCTGAGTCGATCTAATCGTATAATTGATGAATCAGTTGGGGGAAAAAATCTTATTAAAAAACTTATTAGTTAAGGAAATGCTTTGAATGTGAGAAAAATTGAAATAAATGTAATGGTGACATGTGTAATAGAGTTTGAATTATACGTAGAGATAGATATGGATAGATTTGGAAATAAATTTCAAATTCTAAAAAGAGTTTATTATCATGGTTTAAATTCCAATGAATTATATAGATGAAATTGTAATAATTATTATGTGATGCTCTGAGTAGATATAAGAAAGAGATCTAAAAAGGATTCAGCTTCTTTTGTTGGCAATGATTTAATTAAATGATTAGAGTGGGGGATGACAGCAATCAATTATATAAACTTGATTAGCAATACACAAGCATTCGTTTCTTTCTCACAATCTCCAGTGAAAACAATCAAGCAACAAATAGTCCAATGATTAAGGTTAAGAATGATATATAGTATATATCATATGGGGTTTGCATTTGTCATTTAACATAACATAACAAACTTTTCTACACACATAACATTTTGTGGTGCCCACACTTTTTGAAGAAAAAAGAAAAAAAGCAAATTACAACACGAAAAACGAATCTCTGTAACATTACACAATTATTTTTCCTACAACATAATTCTTATAAAATCCGTACTATATATGCATCTTTATATGAACCTTCGAAAATGGAAACAGAGGGTGTCACATGGCCCTTCCATTGCTTTTATCCCTACCGACTGACACTTTTTTATTGTAGGTTGACTAATATGTAGATTCTTATCTTTTCTTTGGTGCCTTTCGTTTCATTCATTAGCACCAAACATTTACCTACGAGACAAGGTTTGGCCACCTGCTTTTGCTTCGCCTTTACACCAAAGCATGCAAGATCTTCACAAAAATAACTTTATATTACGGGGTTTATACTTTTTATCCAATATAAGAAGAGTCTTCTCAAGTTACACTCGCATTGTTTTGCATGTTAATATTTTTAATTTTTTTATTTACTTTTTTCAATGTAACCTATTTGAGTATGTGTGTGCTGCAAAAATTCCCATCTTATATTACATGAGAAGTATAAACCCCTTATATTATTGAATTGACCAATGACCATCATATATATCATATCAGTTATGTTGGTTGCATGTGACGTGCTCACATAATTTCCAAAAAGTGAAGTGAATAATTGATTTTGATTAAAAAAATATTTCAGTTATAAATAATGCACACGCCATTAATGCAGATGAATAAAAGAAGAAAGTAAAACAAAATAAAAATCAAAGATAGTGATTGGGGTTATGT